TGGTTTAAAGCAACTTGACATTGACAATAGTAGTATGATGAGTATGAGTAGTATTAAGGATACCCAGGGAAGTGATCTTGCTAATATGGATTATGAACTTAGTGCTCAAAAAGAAGAAAAATCTAAAACCGACGAAAATCCAGAGGAAAAGGTTTCACAGCAACCCACGACCAATAATGATAATAAAATAGATGAAAAATCTTATGAAAAAGTTATTAAAGAAAATGAACAAGAACTTGAAAAGAAAATGTATCCAAAAACTCTCGAAAAAGGTCATATTTGCTTTCTTTATAGACCAAAGGTTTGTATCTGTCACGTGATATGTAGAAGTAATTGCTGCACAAGAAAACAATAACATAACTAAACAATTACGGTTAATAATAATAGGTCAATGTTGAAGAACCTAAAAGCATTGAAGAAGTTCAACGAATGCATATTGTTCTTTTGCCACACCTAGTAAGACACTCGTTAGAAGAAGAACCTGTCAAAAGTTATTCTCATTTGTCAATCCAAGGTAAACTCGATGAACACTCAAATGCTGAAAAACCACATATAGGAAAATCTCGTGTAATCACTATTGGAAAGAAAAAATTACCCGAAATTGAAAAACATTCTAAATTCTGGGGTTATATTGTAAGTTATCCTAATAAAAAGATATGTGTGATGTTTATTTGTGCATTAAGAAATAAATAATGAATTTCTGTCATCTTACGTTTGCTTTCCTCTTCTTTTTTTAAAAAAAAGGATAAAGCATTTAATGACTCGAATGAACTTAAAGAATTTGTTTCTGGAAGAACTTATCAAACTGCTACCAAAGGTCAACAAGCTCTTCAAGATTGCAGAATCTTTGTAAGTAGTTGATATTTTTTTTAAATTTTTTAAAATATATATTTTTACAAATTATCAATTAATGAATTTAATCTTAGGGGAGAGGAGTTTATAACATAGTAGAGCATCATGGGCATACTCATTTAGCCTACGTATTGGAAATTCCAGAAGAACCAACTGAAATTCAAAAGGAATTCAACGTCAACAAAGAGGGAACCTATGTTATAAGTATTAAGGTAAATAAACATTACATATTTATATAATTAAAATAAATAAATAAATCAAAACTAACATTTTAATTTATTTATGAATCAAGAATCCTGACATATCAAACCCATCATACACAGGACTTTCTGGACACGAAAAAGTAATTTATCCTGATCGTCTTGTACAAAAATTCCAAGGAAGGCGATTTATTTCTTTGGAAACAACCGAATTTTTGGATTATAATGGTACCGAATTATTATTTATTGGTGCAAAGGAAGATATTGCTCAAGATTTGGGCGAGGCAGGAAAAGAACTTGAGGAATTGGCAGAATACGAAACAAAAACAATCGTTCCATTTGCTGAACGTGTAGTCTTTGATGATTTACATTTTGAAAAGGGTGTTTTGCCAATTGAACCACTTCATGGTTTATGGAAATAATTTGAAATATTTTTTCGTGTTG